ATGTATGTATAGGTATATATGTATATAATTATATTCTATATTCTATCTTTAAAACGTTAGCATAATTTTCTTTACAATAAAATCGAAGAAAATTATGTATTTTTAAGCGTGTTTTTCTGTTTATGAAAAAAATTTTCCATTGTTGTTGCTAATTGCTATTATTATAATTTGTTTCTTGTTTCTTTATTTAGTTTAATTTATATTGAATGAATTATTTATACATAACTACATGATTACATTTATAAACTTACATGCAGTTAAGAGGGATAACATATCGTGTTACAAAATGTTCTTTTCTTCTATTTTATTCTCTTTTTCTCTTTCTTTCTTTCTTTCTTTCTCTCTTTCTCTCTCTCTCTCTCTCTCGTTTTATGACTTCTTGATTTTTCTTTTATTTATTTATTTTCTTTTTTTTTTCGATCAAATCTCTTTGTATATCTCTTTTATTGTTTGTGTAATTAACATGCTTGCCTCTAATCAAACAATGACTAAATCGTGGTAAATTCGTTATACTAACAATAACAATAACAATTTTTTAAATGCCGTTTGAAAAATCAAACTGCCACTCACAAAAAAAAAAATAAAAAAAAAAAAGTTAAACAAGTTATGCCAAAATCTTTATCTCCGCCCGGTACAGTACCCTGGCAGCAGCAGCAACCGAGTCATAACAATGGCCCGCCTTCACCGACCAGCATGTCTTCGGGCTGCTCCTCGCCTGGTTATTCACCTAGCAAAGGCATGGATTTGTCAGGGTCCAGTTGCAGTTTTTCAGAACGCAAAGGAGGCTACAATTTCAAGGGAGGACCAGTACACGAATGGTCTAAAGAACAGGTAAATATTTACTTTACTTTGAAAATAATTTTCAAGTGAAAGTTTCTTGAAAATCCGGTTTGATAATGAACATCATTCCGCCAATCGAATAAAATTCAAAAAAAACCCCTTACAAAGCCATACAAATATTGAACAAATATTCCCTCAAGCGCATATAAGCTTCATTGGTTTACTCGCTGTCTTTGTCCGTCTGTTGATTAGTTCAAGTCACGGTTACGATCTTAAAGCCTTGTATAGAAGAAAAACATGAATTTTTTTTTGTTTTTCTACATTTACTAAAAACAATAAAGTCTACGGCCAATATACATAATTACATTAAGATAAACCATATGCGTAGAAAGAAAGAAAGAAAGAAAGAAAGAAACACTATTGAAATGATCAACATGCTCTACTATTAACATTTGTAATCGTCAACTGCCCGCATCATACGAATTTGGGTCTTTGAAAGGATGAGGAAAATTTTCTCTTAAATCCATCAAAAGGGATCATCAAAGATTCTCAAAATCAGCGGCAACGCACTCCACTATCGAGGTGAATTGACAATGAACGAACCAGAGAAAGAGCCAAAGAATTAGATAAGGGGCGGTATGGGTTAATAAAAACGGTTTTCCTATTCGACCTAGAGAATTGTAGTCGTTCGGTCATTTCCCTCCGATTATGTAGAACTTTGTCAGTTTACAATTTAAAGTTAAGTCCTAAAGTTAAAGTTTAAAATCCGCTATTGCGGATCGGTCGTTAATCGACAACATAAGCAATAACTTTAACTTAGTGATAGAGCAGGTGTGGGTTTTTTTTTTGCTTTTATATTCGATATCATTGCTGTTAAATAGGGTGAATTCGCGTCGAGTGTGAAACGCTTCAAAGAGATTGAGATACGTCCGCCTTTTATTATGCCAATCGTCTCAAGCTTGCTTATCCGTTTGTCCATGTATTTTTCTGTTCTATCTATGATTCTTAATTTTCAAAATACTTTAATGAAATTGAATTTATATGAAATCTTATTCCATTCACAACGGATCGAATCGAATTACTTTTGCGAACCGTAACGTACTGTTTTGAACAAGTCGTGCCATTTGTAATATTTCTTGACAACAATTGATGGAAAATAGTAATTTTGGCATATGGGATCGAATATAGCTACGTTTTGCATCCACTCCCCTATATACGTATAGGATTTTCGAAAAGATTTGCCTTTATATGAAGATAACCCTAAATCTTATAGTATTTTAGTGCGAAAAATGTAAAAAAAAAAAAAAAAAATTAAAAAAGTTATTTGACGTCGTTTCGACTAAATAGATCAATGTCATGGAAAAATGTTACTATAACTGTAAAAAAATTTCCCTACAAAACTTGCAGTGTTTTTAGTGAAACCTGATGATGCGTTGTCTCTGTCCACATTGATCGGCAAGCTCGTTACGATCACGCCATCTATGTTTTGCTAATCTTTTTACCAAGTCAGACGATTATCTATCGATAATGTAGCCGAAATATCGAAAACATTTACTTATACAACAACAAAAAATTGAATTCAAAAATTGTCTTCTTTCGATATACTTACTATGGTTTCGTGTTGCTTTTACAGGTGGGACATTGGTTGATGGGCATTGAAATGGAACGTTACATTCCAGTTTTCAAAGAGCATAATGTGGAGGGCGGTGCTTTACTGTCTTTGGACTCGCGTGAATTGAAAATGCTCGGAGTGCTTGGCGATGATAAAAGTCGTTTTAAACGGCGTCTCAAGGATCTCAAGGCTAGCATCGAAAAGGAGCGAAAAGATCAAGAACGTGAGCGTCGAGAACGTGAAAAAGCCATACGTAAAGCTGAAAAGAAAGCGGCCAAAAAGAAATAGAAAAATGCTATTTTAATATATTAAGCATTATATGCAAATAACTCTAGAAACATAGAATCTATTTGAAATATTTATACCACAGCACATACATAAAAAACATTAAAAAAAAAGAAGAAAAAAAAGAACAACAATAACATTAACAACAAAAGAAACACAAAAATGCATATATATATATATATATAAATAAAACACACACACACACACACACATGCACACACATGCACACACATGCACACACATACACTCCACGTGTATTTTACACATGCATACATACATACATATATACATACATACATACATAAACGAATAACAATACATTGACACATCAATACATCAATACGTGCATACATATTAAATACAATATTATAAGACTCTACCAAAAATTTATTAAATTTAATTTTTAAACACAAAAAACACAAAACACAAAAAAGAAAAAGAGAAAAAAGAACAGAAAAATTAATCCAAAAAAACAAAATATATTATTATATATACCCGAAGAATCCTTTATATTTATACATTATACGTTGATATATACACTACAATAATTTTTAAGTTTTTAAAGTTACTTAGTGATGTGCGTCCCATACACATCCCATGAATAGCGATTAATTGTAAAATTAATTAATTAAGGAGTTTTTGTACATTATTATATCAATAATTTTATCTATTGCAACCTACACCACACAGCAGCCGGATACAGAGTATGCTCGTTACTTCGGATGAAATTTTATTGTTCACATCGTTTTATGCCGATATGTCTTTCGCTTGTATTTAATTAAAGCGTAATTCTTGAAATTGCTTTAATAAGCTTGTGCCCGTTTGAACTCTGTAGTCAATAGAACCGATCAAAAATCATTTTCAGCTTCATTTCTCTAAAACATTTATTTAATTTTCATAATAAATTTGTATATAAAAATGGAATTTTTGTACAGATTTTTCGGTATAAAGGAGAGTTATGACAAATTTGGATCACACATATATACACTGCAATAGATATGTATGGAGTTACTAAAGAATTTCCCTTTAAACGCTTTGAGAAAAAAAAAGAAAGAAAAAAAAAAAAAAAAAAAAAAACAAGCGTTAGGAGGTTACTTTTCCACAGTGGTTTATGATATTAAATAGTTGGAAGCCTTCTCAACTATTATCTTCTCATTCTCGTTTCATTTGTTTATTTCTTTTGTTTTTTTGTTTTTTTTTTTTTCTACTTTCATTTCATATATAATTTTATTCTTTTTATATTTATAAAAATATTTACATTTTTGTGGTATCCTTTCCTTTTTTTTTTTTTTTTTATTTTATTTTAGTTTTTTAAGTGTTGACATTGTTCAAAAAAATACATATATAACTTATATGAAAAAATGCATTTTTATTTTCTTTCTCAGTTTATATAAATTATATAACATTTTCGTATTTGATATAGTCTTCTCATTCTCCGAAATGATTTTGAAACTTTTTGTCGAAATATTTATGCATACATATATTATTAGTTAAAATTTATCTTGGTTACATGCGGTTGATAATTGCACACCTAATGAGAACAATTTGAATTTTTCTATTAAAGTAAAGGTGATTACTGGCTAATATGCTAGTAATCCCTAATTCTTAAACTTTGCTTTGCGATCGTGATAGAACTGCAAGAAAAGGAGAAGCTCTTCTTTCGCAATTTTATTATCATCTGCAATGATAAGTGTGAGGTCACAATATGATTGCTATAAATATCGAGATTTGTTGTTGCCTCAAGTATAGCTTTAACATTTTACCGACCGATCACTTGGCCACAATTTCCCAATTTTATAAGGCTCTGTTTTCGCTTAGAATGTCGCGATGATTAGCTGTGCAATAAAATTCCGAAAAAGAAGCGAAAAAACTAGTTGTCGGGACCGAATATTTGATACCCATCAAAGACAAAAGAAGTAAAAGAACAAGTTGATTTCTTCTGTTTTTAAAATTAAGATTTTTGTCGTACTGCCATGTGGACGTTGCAGGCGTCTTCTCTGAAAAGTTTAGGTTAATTACAAATTTTTTGCACATTTGTAGGCGAACTCTGCATTTTTACGAATGAAAGAATATTTCCGAAGTTGCACAAACAGGCAGATGGACAGACGGATATGTTTAGGTGCATTCAAGATGTGAAACTAGCCAAGAAATTGTATACTTTATGGGATTATAAAGGTATTGAAAAAATAATTCAATTTTGACACACCATAAAATTGGATAGGCGTGGTCAATTTTACCTATATTTTTGCACAAATGGTACAGCTACGCCCACAGAATTTAGATTCAAATTTTTATACATTTATTTGCTGTAGTTTATCAGTCATGAGCAAATTTCCAGAGCTATTCTCTGTTTACGTGATGTTGTGGGCGTGTCCTTTGAGCAGTTTGTCCCAATACCTTCCAACACTTCTGCGAAATTTGAAGTCGCTAGGCTCGTTTTCGCGGTCAGGCGAATGTCTACAGCAGACATTAGACAGACGGGCAGACGTACATGCGCGAGAGGTCGATAAAGTGTTAAACTTTTGTGTTATAGCGTTTTGCAATTGGCAGTTAATCAAATTAATCTAATTAGACATCTGCGTACATCGAATTACTATAATATATGTTAATACCGCTGCTTACTCAATAGGTGGGAGCGGTGAGGGAAAAGCCTTCTAGGCCTCTATGAAGAGAAACATAAATTTTATAACATACTTAATGTTTAAATTGTCAAAAATTGGTTTATGCCATCGATACTTACAAAGTGAGAGGATTAACATTAAAACTACCTATGCCTTGCGTCATATGCACCTATCTCTACCAAAAGGGATCATTTTTATTCTCTTCTTTTTTTTTTAATTACCTTTACTCGTACGTGATGAAGATACAAAGTTGATATTTGATAAAACATTCCTTGATCGATTAAGAATATGAGGTTAAAAAAGTGGTGTGACACGTCCGTGCGCATGTTCACATTGTAGAAGAAAGTGAAGCATGACTATATTTTCGAAAATTTGTGATCTAAATGTTTGTTAGCATCACCTTCACGTGCAGTGCAATTGGGATTCAGGTTCCGATCGGTTCGCTGGCGCATCCACTGTTAATGACAAAATCTCAATTTGAATTTACTTTCGATTTATCGCCCATTAGCATAATCGTCACCCAATTAATAAATAATTTACAGATAAATTGGATAAAAATTCGAATGAAAATTTTCACGACAAATGGCGGACGTATTATCAGCTGTTTGCAAAAATTTCGATCAGCGACTTCTACAGCTCAAAATGATAAAGAAATGGGAAATGCCACTGTACAAAACGGTTGAATTCGATGGTTTCGACCTATCACTGCATAAAATAACGGTTTTCCGTTCAATGTTATTAATTTCTAAATTCCTTACTACTTGTTCAGATAGTAGCGGGCGGGTCGTCAATGTTGAAGAAGTGCGATAAATGGGTTAGGCGGTGGATCGATGCCAAACCAATATAAAGTCTTTCAACGTACTGCCGAAAATATTGTAAATTGTTGTGTTGTAAATGATGCAAACGTAACAAATGCCTTTTTCAAGGAACTTTGAAAAGGTGATCCAAATTTTTGAAAATACCTAACAGTAATAAGCAACGATAAATGTGGTTTTGACGAGTACTTGTGCGGCAATCTTTACTTTGTTTGATTTATTGGATATTAAAAATTTCTCTAAAATCGTAAATAGTTTTCTTACTTACGCTTGTTATTGTTTGTAAGCATATCTGCGATCCGAATTCGTCCATTTTTACCTTGAGTGTTTAAGTAAATTTTACTAAGAACTGAATCAAATTTCCACATTCAAATCGCTCGCACAAAAAAATATAACACTTTTTTTCCTCGCTCTCTACCTATAATCCTTCCTCATCACTATTGTTCGTATACGTTTCGGGAGAGGGGGCTGGTGAAAAAAAAAAAACAGAAAGAAGAGAAATTTTTATCTTACATAGAATAAAAAGTTATTTATTTATTTATTTATTCCACTTATACTAGAAACTCAACTAAACAAATAACAGTCGAGTTCAATTGGCTCTTAATGAATAGATTTTGCAATTTTTTAGCTCTGTCAGGTTGAACTTTCATACCCTCCACACATGCTGTATAAAGCTATCAGAGCGACTTGAGATACCGATCGATTCAAAACTACTTTTGTGTGTCGATCTAACCTTGTCTGTCCGTCTTGTTTTCTTGTGTTCAACGTACAGACTGCAATTTTTGTGGTATTTTAAGAAAATGTAGTACAGTGATGTGTTTTGCTCCAAGCATGAACGCTTAACCCCCTCTTATGATCAATTCCCATATGGGATTGTTAATTTGAAAAGTAATTGCATGAGTAGCTATACGGGACGATAGGGTATTTAATAATAGGCCGGGGCTCACTAGTCTTTTTACTTGCTTTTCTAATAAGTCAGGGCATGATAATTTTCATATATGTTTCTGCATTAATTCTTGGTAATAAGAGATTTCCGAAAATATGGATAGACAGGGCCTAAATATTTTTAAATATATGTATATATATATACGTAAAAGATTTTCCTAAATTTAAATAGGATCGACATGTATATTCATATATATATATACATATATATATATATATATACATATATATGATTTGATTTTAGATCTTTCAAAATGGAATGATATATGGAATAAACTTGCGGCGTGTTTTTAATCTCGGTAAATTGGGTATTGAATTAAAAGATTTATATCCGAAACTAAACGTAGCTCCGATGATAGTTTAAGAAATTTTGAAAGCTAGAAAAAAAAAAAAAATTGAAGATCCTTTTAAGAGATGCTTTTACAGTTCAAATCGTTTTGCGGAAATAGTTTGAAAACAAGATCTCGATTTCTTTCTCTAGTCGAAACGTCGACACTTTGATATTGCTTAGGGTATATACATTTTCAAAACGTTGGGTAAAATAATGTTCGATAATTGTCAGGTAATAATAATAATAACTTCAATGCATACATAATAATTGACTTTGGTTTAAAAACAAAAAAAAAAAAAAAAAAAAAAAAAGCAGAGTCCATCCGGTATCATCTCAGCTAACGCCTGAAAATTTTCAAAAGAAATTTGCTTCAATTTCCATATATAATACATATTTTTGGCACTTTTTCTTCGAAACTATAATATACAAAAATGCCTAAAATTATATTACAACTTATTTTATAATGTAAATGGTTTCCTTTTTCGTTTTTATTTTGGTTTTTTTGTTTTTTTTTTTTTTTTTGTTATTATTAAAATACAAATTTAATTTATATTTTTATTAAGAAATCTTACAACAGAAAACTGTTTCTTTTCCCTGGAAAGAATGGTTTCCGTTGAAAGAGAACCAAAAAGAGCAAATTCACCAAATGTGCATTAATATGCTTAATATCAATAATGAATGCCATCTATAAAGCTTTGTATAGAGTGGCAGATAAAATATTATTCAACACCACCATAATTACAACTACCACCTTAACAACAACAAGAGTACGCTTTTAGACGTTTGCCTATAATAGAAAACCTAGTGCCACAAAAATAATAATATTAAAAACAAAAAACAAAAAGAAATTGAAGAGAAAATATTTTCTATATTATTTTTTTATAAAATTTTCAATTTTAGTAAAACGGAGGAAAATTTTTAAAAATCATAATCAAAAAAAAAAAAAAGAAATAAAATAAAGAAAATTGAATCATTGTCGTTTAAACGCTGGGTAACAGTTAGGATGCCTTAATACATTTATCGTTTTTATTTTAATCAAAAGTGTCTGGATTTTGTTTCTTTTTCTTCTTCTTGATTTTTTTTTTTTTTTTTCTACACAATAGTTGTAGTCTCAGAGATCTAGCCTAACCAATAAATGCCTTGGAACAATGAAACTGGTCCTTGGAATAATTAATTTTCAAAAAAAACAAAAAAAAAAATACAAAAAAAAAAAATTAAAAAAAGTTAAATTAAAATCAAATAACCACGGATTGTCTAGAGCGAAACACACTCGTGCCTTTTTTATTATTATGTCTACTACCCGTCCCCTTAAAATATCGTGAAATTATTAATTCTAATAAGTGTTATTAAACACACACACACGCATACACACACACACCCACACACACACACATACACACACTTGCATACACAAAATGAAATCTATTATTAATCTGAAAAAGATTTTGAACAGTCAGACACAAAAGTCTGTATACAACTTTAAATTTGGAAATTTTCGGAAAATCTGTTTCTGTCTGTCTATCTCTTTCTCTCTCTCTCTCTCTCTCTCTCCGTCTTTCTTTCTCTTTCTCTTACTATATGCTGTAACACTTTTCACCTTAAAATGCTGCAACTCAACAGCATCGACACTGAAATTTTCGCTTAACTGTACAATTTTTTAAAATTATTTTATTCAATAGTATTTTCTATCTTTCTTAAATATTTAGACAATTCCTTAGGAGTGATCTCTAAGCGTTTAAGTCGGAAAAGATTTTGAAATAATGTACGGTTTACCTTGAATTACATTATGTTAATATACTCCTTGTCACGTGTACCGTTTTTAGTACACGCGTAAATGCATTTGAATATCAAGCTCGATTTTTCAAATTATATTAATTAAAATTAATTAAAAATTAATTAAATATTTTTGCAATAAAAAAAAAATATAGGTTTTACTTTTTGTTCGTAAGACCTAAGTTGTCTATTATCTAGAGGGTTCTTATGCGATGGGTTTAGAAATTATGTTATGACAAAGAATAGCAAGGAATTCCTGTACTTGCAATGTGTTGTGCTATTTAATTGTCAGTCCGCGTCTTGGGAAAAATATTCAAATTTTCTCAACTGATAGTTTTTTGCGAATAATTTGACTCTTCATTTTCTTTGCTTACAATTTTCTATCCCATTGTGTTTTTAAAACTTTAGGCATACTTCCCACCCTTTTGAAGTGTGTATTTTGAAAAGTTTCTTAAGCACCGCATTAAACTTGTGAGTCATGTGAACTATCACTTAGTTTAGTCTGCTTCATTTACTTTGAGATACTTGCATTGACTGTACCTACTAACAACCGTTTCACGTTACATTTCACGTTACGTTACATTTGTTTAACCACAATTGACTATTGTTGCCAAAGTCAAAACGACCGACCAAAGTTATACATCTTGTTTGTTGGATGAACAGTCTGCTTATTATAAATAAAATGGCTTAGTAATTTGAAAATTTCATAAATGTTTAGTATTTGCTTGAGTATGTGTCGTAGTCATTAAATTTAAAGATTTCGAATTAAAAAAGATTTTCCCAAAATAAAGTAAAGTGTATGTAAACTTTTTCACTTGACTGTTTATTCTTAATTGCATTCAACAATAAAATTGAAACTAAATATTCAAGTAGGCGTTAGCGAATCTCCGATAAAAGTTATTATTATAAAAGTTCCTTATTATGTATGCTTTCGAATTTTCTTTGATAAACGAATGGATATTTACTTTAAAATTGCGCAAACAAATATATATTTGATAGCCTGTTACAGAGATCAATCAATATTGGAAGCGTTTCTTTTTACAAAAATTTGTTTTAACCTTTTTCTGTCATTTAATCATTCGAGCGATTTTACCTTACAGCTCGCCATCCCCCGCTCATTTACCTGAAATACTTGTTAATCATCATCGCAGTTGCCTGTATAGCGGATAGCCAGCCTCTAAGCTTTGAGAAAAAAAAAAAAAAAAAAATGAAAAATTAACGTTGAAAATATTATTAACACCTACACGCAACTATGTTTAGATGTCGTTATCTAAAAAACTTCCACGTTTAGTTGAGCGTACAATGGCCTGGGCACCTATCTGCCATCTCTACTATCACTACTATGGACACTTTTAACATTTTTAAAAAGTCTTAATCTATTGATCGTTTTGCCTGCTTGGAAACTATTTCGGTTTTTCGACTGCTTGGGGCGTATCGCAACGAATTTCAAAGTCGATACGAACCAGAAAATTATGTATATTAAGTTTAGCAATTTCTTATCATGAATTGTGATTTTAAGCGGAAAGAGTAGGAAGAGTTGCCGAATAGGTAGGAATCGCTACAACGAAATCAGAAAATCAGTGTTCGCTGGTTCAACTCACAGTGCAGTCGAGTTTGCTTTGTTCGTAGCTATAGCTAGGCATGACATTTACCGATTAACGAACATACCTACTAGGCTGCGGTCAGTTCCCTTTTGCCCACTTCTTTCTACCCCACTGTCACCGAAGTTACACGAATACGGGGCGATCCCTGAACGATTGATTGCAATAAAAAGAAAAAAAAAAAAAAAAAAAATGATTTTTGATATATAACTGTATTAAGAATATAAAATTATTCTTCGCCAAATTTCCAAAGCTTAAGTCCCGGCTTTACAAATGTGACATCGTAATTAGAGCAGTATGAGTATATGCTCTAAGCTCTTGCGGTCGTGCAAGCATTTTTTCACTTTTCATCTGCCAGTAAGTTAGTAAATTTAAGCTAATATGTTTTGTCATATCATCGACTTGAGAATTGGTTTCGAAATCGAAAGAGTTTGTCTGCTGTGAAGCTTAGCAAAAACATAATACTTTCTTTACGCAAGACAAGAAAGAGAAATGAGTAAAGATAACAATATTTTTATAGGATAACGTAAAGTGTTCTGAACAGAGGAAAATTGTAGCATACTTTTCAACTTTTCATATATGTTTGATATAACAAATCTCGATATTTCGCATTTTGGTCCTTCCAATAAGTATTACTTGCGGTGATTTCCTTCACTTCTTATAAAATAGATTTTTTTTTTTTTTGTTAAATAATTATTTTTTATTACTGTCTAAAAACACATGCATTTAAAACAATTCTCAAGAGCTTCAATAAGTTTATTTAATTTTGGAGCAAAAAAAAAGTAAATAAATAAATAAATTAGGAAAAATTAATTTCTTTCCAAATAGAATTATCAAATATGCTGCACTGATTCACGTACCATATGGTATCACCGGTAAACAAAAGTTACATTTGTAAACACTTATTAATATATAAAAAGAAAGAAAAAAAAACAAGAGCAATTAAAAAGACTTACTAGCATTGAAAAAAGTCTACGTACAATTAATTATTCAGTTACATTATTGTTTATTGATTTTCGCAATTAAACCGATTAAGAAAACAAAAACAAAACAGAAAAAAGAAAAAAGAAGGATTTGTGAAGTAAGCCTTGTATATAAAACGTCACTCTTGAGCCTAATCAAGGCTTTAGAACTTATTCTGATATTAATCTCAAAATATTTTTATAGAAAACATATAAAAGAACAAAGGTTAATAAGTGATAAGAGAATAGAAAAACAAAACAAAAAACAAAAGTCTGCCTACATTTTTGCCTAAAATTGGCCTAACATAGGCTATGTTTCTCTGCAAAGGAAGCAATAATATAATAACAAAAGCATCCTTGATCTTGGATTGTGCTGAATTCTAAATACCGTACACTTAATTGTTGTGTTTCTCTTTGCGGGCATATTAAACGGCCAACTGACTATAATCATTTTTTCATTCGTACGGTATAACATCCAACTAACTAATATAAAAGTATTTGAAGAAATTACTTTCGATTTTGCTCTAGATTTTTATAAAGAAATGAAAACATATGTATATATATATATATATATGGGCGTGTTTATCGAAAAATAATATTTATAAGAAAATGGGATTCCCATGGAATGCAGGAGTGGATTCACAGTTCTAGATCTCGAGTAGACTCGATCGTTCACGATTATCGAATCGATGCATCGAATAGTGAGTTCACGATAGTCGATCAAGTATACATTTTTGTTACTATGGAATAGAATGAAAACGTTCACAATCGTGAAGTCGCTGTCTAGTGACATATTCAAAGGGGAAAACGAGGAAGGACATATTTGAGACAACTAGTAGATAGTAGAAAGCCGACTTAAGAATGAGAAAACCGAAATATGGAAGCGTTGCTTTCGAGTCTGCCGCTTGTGACGCCTACAATAATAAAACCAAATCCATTCTCTTTCATCATCCGCGTCAACAATACACACATCTAAAGAATCCCAAGTAAAAGCAAAAAGAAAAGAGAAGAAAAAAACAGATTATCAGGCAGAGGTATAATTGTTACATTTTAGAATAGTGCTTCCATCACACCATCTAACGGGATTTGGAATATAGAGATGTCCGCATTACAGCCGGCTTATATGACTGATATGAATATTATTTAATTTTCTTTTTTTTTTTTTTTTGAAAAAACCTTAAATAACTTTGTTCATATTTTCGGTTAGAAAAACTTGAAAACTAAAAAAAAAAAAAAAAAAATTTCATTCAGAATTGATTCGAATTAAATCTAATCATCTTAATGAATCTTTGATCTATTTTTAAAAAAATGTTTTTATATGCACATATACACCTTTTGCAAAAAATCTAAGGAGTAGAATGAGTGCATATAATAAATAATCCCTAAAATAATGACGGCCATAAAAAAAAA